AGATCAGTCGCTGGCTTCTGGACGGCCACTCACTGCGGCTGCTGGCCGCTCACGCTGGCTGCGGGCTACACATGGTAGCCCATGGCAACCCACTGCAGCCTACGCCATCGCCGGCGATTCACAGCAGCCCAGCTCCAGGTTGAGCTGTTGTTCAGCATCTTAGCTGTAGAGGGCAGTGTCCCTGGCCCTTATATGTGGGATCCGAACCGGGGTCCTCTGGCGTCCCAAGCCAGTTCTTAACCATTGTGCCACTCGGCTGGCCCAATCCTTTTTCTTTAATTATTAAATATTCTGTACATTAGAGGTTGGACCAATTTCTATTACTATCAGAAATGTGTACACTCTCACCAATGTAGTGTTACCAACCTTTGTGATCCTTTCCAATTCAATGGGTTAATCAATGATATTTCAGTTTAATTTTAATTTACATTTTTCATTATAATATGATGCCTGAGTCTTCACTTCCTTTATATAATATCCATTGTTTTCCTACTACAAGCAATACTGAAATGATTGAGTAACTGCTCTTTCTTCTTTATCCGGTTTTTGTTACTACATTATGGTCTTAGTTGTTAGTCTTTGGGTTTTCATATCTGCTTCAGAGTCTTGGAGTTTGATTGGTAAGCCCCAACTGATATTCTTTTATTCCCAGATAATGCCTATGAGTCAATCAGTGAATTTGTTCTGTTTTCCTTTTACTGTCTTCCTTCTGTTCTTTTTCTGGTAGTTGCATTATTCCCACATAATACTTACATGCTATTTTGTGTCTCTTATCATCATAAGCCTTAGTTCTCAGGTATGCTCACCCCACCCCCAGACATTATATTACAGGTTTTCCAAACGTTTCCTCAGGAAAGGTTTGTATCTATTTTTGTATGATATTTATACTTTAAAGACTCATAGGAATCAGAAACATACCCATTACTTTTACTAATAATTCAAAGGATAGGCCATCTCGGTGAAACATAGAGAAGCCTGGGACATCACGTGCACTAAAGGAATCATTTCAGTTATAAAACATTTCCTTTTTATACCTATGAAATGTATAGCTTACATGACATTTTCCAATGAGCCATGCCTGATAAATTCATAAATTCCATGTTTATTTATAATAAACAATCTAGATGGAAAAGGTACATCCTGTTAAAAGCATTCCAGTAAGGACTCTCCCTCTAGTCATTATTATTAGTGCCTGTCATCAGATTTGACTTGGTAATCTCTTTTGTTTCCCAGCCACATCTCTTTTTTTTTTTAGCTGAGCCATCCTGCCACCTGTTGGCAGCTCAGAGGCAGCTCAGTTCGGGCGGGAATTGAACCGGCGACCCTGTTGCTCAGAGCTCGTGCTCTTGAGCAAGTTCTTAACCAATTGAGCCACTCGGCCGGCCCTTTTCGTTTTTTTTAAATTTAATTTTCCTAACAGCCCTGGTAATGGGAGGAAATTGATAAGGCTTTCCTTCCCCAACCCAAATTCCCCTTAAGTTTCCTTTAAGCAAGGCCTTCCCTCTACGGTATTTTCTTCTATAGCAGTGTTCTGTCTGTCTCTTCTGTTAGTGAGGGTGAGTGGATAGTAAACCCCCGCAGGTTGTATATCATGAAGGATTGGGAAATGTTAGAGGACAAGAAAACTCTTAGTTGTTGTCATGGGTGAAGTTAGAAAACAAACTCCAGAATCCTGTCCTCCAAAGGAGAGAGATGATGGACATAGTCAAAATTGTAAACTGCAAACTGGATTACCACTTCAAATGTAGAAATGTAGAAATGGGAAACAATACATGGAGAATGGGAGCAGAGAAAATGGAAAATAAGATATGATGCAGGTTTCTAGTCCAATTCTTGTAGGAGACAGAAGGGTGGGCCTACAGCAGGCCACAGACACCTCACCTGCTACAGCCAGTGGAGGATATTGCTGGCCACTCCCTGTCACTCAGAGCCATCGGACATGTTTCTTAGCAATCATTATTGCTGAAGTGTCCCATGCTGCAGACTCCTGTGCCCCAGAAAGAGATGATCCACCACCAGGAAGGACTAGAAATGGCACTTGTTCTATTTCCCTACAAATGTGAAGCTGCTTTACAACAAACATCTTAGGGAAAAGCTAGAAGAATCTAGTGAGATCATATATAATTTCTCAGTATACAGTGGTGGCAGAGATCTGGGACAGGGCTTTCCTAAGCCCAGAGCCACACGCACACTTCTCTGAGATGCTTGCGGAGTGCTAATGTATATGGGCAACCACACCTAGCCTGGAAACCTGGAATAGGATAGGTATCATATCTACCTGTCTTTATTGTGGGACAGGCCCCAAGAGGGTTGTATTGGTTTGTGAGTTCTAAATACTAATTTATTGTCCTTGAAATATAGCAGAAGCCCTAGAGGAGTGTCAAAGGTCAAAGCAACACTAGATTTCTAGTCCAGGGAGTTCAGCAGAAGCAATACCAGGGGACTAACATGGTGAGGATATGTTGAGAATTCAGAAAAGCTTAATGGCAGTACTATGTGGAGTGACAGAGGACAATGGTGGGTACAAAGTGAGGCTACCAGGGGTGTATTTTTAGGGAGCTCCCATGCACATTCAGTATGGATCATAGTTATTTGAAGGAGAAGAGGAGATCTTCTCTGAGCAAATCTTTCCTCTAGTCTTTTTCCTACATCTAACATTACTCCTGAACTCCTAAATTGCTCCTGTATTCTTGAGGATTATGGTGCTAACACTCTGTTTCTTAAGACTGGTGGATGAATGTCTTAGCATGTTGAATACCACTATTGCCTCTAAAGATCATGTTTACTATAATAAGTGATCTGAGAATCTGAGATAGCTTTTTTTTTTTTTTTAAGATTTTATTGGAGAATTGGGGAAGGGGAACCGTGTTTGGGAATTGGGGGAGGGGAACAGCCAAGTTGTTGTCCTTCAATCTTAGTTGTGGAGGGTGCAGCAAGCTCAGCTCCAGGTCCAGTCATGCTGCTCAGCTCAAGGTGCTGTGTTCAATTAGTTGCGGGTTGGCGTAGCCACCATTCCATGCAGGAGTCAAACCGGCAGACTTGTTGTTAAGAGCATGTGCTCTATCCCGTGAGCCACCCTGACGGCAGCTCAGTTCAAGGTTCTGAGTTCAGTTTTTAGTTGCAGGTGGGCGTAGCCCACCATCTCCAACAGGGAACCTTGTTGATAGGAGCACGTGCTCTCACCAGCTGAGTCATCTTGCCACCTGTTGGCAGCTCAGCATGGGTGCAGCTCCCTGGCCCATGTGGGAATCAAACCGGTGACCCTGTTGCTCAAAGCTCGTGCTCTTGAGCAAGCTCTTAACCAACTGACCCACTCGGCCAGCCCCTGAGAGAGCTTTTAATGACCTAGCTGTACATCCATGATGATTAATCCCCTGTACACAATTCCTAGGTACCATACTTTCACTGATCCTATAATCTCTTTATCTTTCATAGTGTAGATACGATGCTCTTCTCCTTAAATAATTACAATATGTGAGTATATATAGCAATGGTAGGCACAATTGTATGCTATACAAAATAGGTTTGTTTGAAATATTAAACACTTCCTAGTATTCCTATGAGGTTTCCTAAAATATTTCTTTTTCTAGGACTCAAGTATGATTCTGCCACGAGAGAATGAATTCTTCCCATCACCCGTGTTTACACTTAGAGTCAGACGAAGTTGCCTCACTGAAGATGCTCTGCGTCAGTTGAGCCAAGCTGAAGTCACTGACCTCCGGAAAGAATTATTGGTACTGTAAAAAGTCTCATTGGATATTTTTACTAATGTGGGGGGAAATAATTATATAGTGCAGCAAAGGAAGAGCCTGCATTTGGAACTATAGTTATCAGCCTTATGATTTCAGAATTCATTGCTTACCCTTCAGAGAAAAGCTATGGGATGTATAATTCAACATTGGGATTATGCGTTCACTAGTAGTTACCTATGGTTATAAAAGTGCTGCATAATGAACCATCCCAAAGCTTAATGACTTAAAATAACAATAATTTCTTTGACAGATCTGCAGTTCAGTTGAGGATCTGCTGGTCTAGGTTCAACTCATCTGGGTGTCTTTCTGGATTCTGTATGCCTGTTTACATGTTTGGGAGTTGGCTAGGGATTGACTGATCTAGGCTAGGCCTGGCTGGGGCAGTTTGGCTCTGCTTCCTATGTTTTTCCTCTTCTTCTTGGGACCGGCAAGCAAGTTCTTTTGACAGCAGTGCCAGAGGTACAATATAGCCCAGTCACACAAATACCATTGTTTTAGTCAAAACAAGTCACATTGGCTGAACCTACATCAAGGGCTGGCAAAATATACTAAGCCTGTTTAATGGGGGGAACTGCAAAGTCACGTGCAAAAGACATAGATCAAGGAGAGGTGATGAATTGGGGCTGTTAATACGATCAACAAGCAGGGGGTGCAACAGATACTTTTCCTACATTTTGGCTCTAGTTTTAGTCATAGACCTTCCACTACTATATCGGTTCCAAATAGCCATCCTTGACTTCATCCTTTGTGGGCGCCTACAGGAATTTTACTGTGTGGCACCTCAGATGATTTGCCCTATTGAGGCCGTAAAATATTGACTAACTTTAAGTTAGAGCTGGAGTCTGTACAGAAGGGAGTGGGTTTTCCTGATATCAGCCATGAGGGGATGAGTTAGGTTCTCACAGAATAAACCAGAACCCGGAGGGTGAGACTCAAATAGGAGAGGGATATTTCCCAGCATGGAACGCCTATGAGAAATACAGAAACTATTTTATAAACCAGACTTTCAAGTTGTATGTCTCCCTCTATACCTCATTCCTTTAAATCTTGATTATGAGGAAATAAATAGAAAATGATTCTGCCTATTGGAGATTGACAAAGAGATAAGAAGATAAACTTCAAGACCGATCCATCAAAATATAGACTCTGAGCAAGGCAAGATTGTCTAAGCCCATTAAGAGTTTCCTGAGCATGGCAAAGGCAGACTTGCTAGTGAAAATGGACAGAAATAAGAAAATCAGAAGTAAGCTTAATTTGTTATTTGAATATATCCACAGATGGAATGTGAGGCAGGCCCTCGGAGATTATGGTCTGTGACCGAGGAATCAGTTGATCCAAGTGGCAGTAAATAAGATCTTCCAGGCAAAGAGGGGGAAAGGATAACTCTTAATCAAGCTTAGTGGTATATAGATAGATATAGATATAGATATATAGATATAGATATAGATGTAGATAGATATAGATATAGATATTTTAACTTTATTGGAGAACGATGTGTTTTTTTTGGGGGAATGATGTGTTTTTTACAGGATCCATCAGCGCCAAGTCAAGTTGTTGTTTGCAATCTAGTTGCGGGGGGCGCGGCCCACCATCCTATGTGGGAGTCCAACTGGCAACCTTGCTGTTAAGAGTACATGCTCTAACCAACTGAGCCATCCAGCTGCCCTGGCAGCTCAGCTACAGCTTAGCTCAAGTGATTGGCTTCAATCTAGTTGTGGAGGGTGCAGCTCACTGGCCCATGTGGGAATTGAACCAGTAACCCTGTTGCTCAGAGTGTGCGCTCTAACCAACTGAGCCACCTGGCCACCTCCAGTGATGCTTATATGAAAAAGTTAAAAAGAAATTAGCCAGGAAAAGAAGTAGAGAAGGAATAGAGAGGAAAGCCAGAGTGTAGTCAGCCACAAAGTCCAAAGGTGGGCTTCAGAAAAGAGGGACTAGTTCATACTGATTTCCCACACGAGGGCTATGGGCAGTCAGGTGTGATGGTTTCTGCAAAGGTGTTGTGCCCAGACTGACTGGGAGAGCTGTTTATCAGAAGTCCTAATGAGGAGAGAGGCAGGAGAAACCAAATAGTTGTTGACTGGAGCCAAAGTTGTAAAGTCTGAATGATGAGATGAAGACAGATAACAAGATAAAAGAATCAAGAGATTTAGTGGCCCAGGGGTTTGAAGCTCATCAAAATTTGGTTCAAGATGCTGGTCACCATAATTGATGAAAGCTAAGTCTTGCTAGAATCCCCTTCACTTGGTTCATGGGGCAGTGTAAAGGACCCATGCACTCAGTATACAATAATCTGACGATAAATAGGTTCATGGCATCTGCTGCTCAGTAGCAAATTGAGGGAGAACAGATTGCAGCGAGGTAAGAGGTGTGGGATTCTGGGAATTCTGGCGACTGCAGAAGGTTTGAAACAGAGGTCAAGACATTATATTTTAATCTTTGGAGTGTGTTTTCTTTCCTCAGATTGAATTTACTGGAGAAATTTGTTCCGTGGGTAGAGGGGTAAAGGCTGAGTTCTTCCACTGTATATTTGAAGAGATGACCAAGACAGAATATGGAATGTTCATATATCCTGAAGACGGTTCCTACATGTGGTTTCCTGTCAGTGTAAGTCTTTTTTTTATTTATTGTTCATTTCATTGGGGAACAGTGTGTTTTCCCAGGACCCATCAGCTCCAAGCCAAGTAGTTGTTTCAGTGTAGTTGTGGAGGGCGTGGTGTAAGTGTAAGCCTTTTACTTATTTTCTCACAGTTTTTCAGAACAGGAAAAGTATACCATACACATGAAAATCATACATAATAATGTAAAATTAGGTCATATACAGCTTTGCTACTCAAAATATGGTCCATAGAGCAGCAGCTTCAGCATCACCTCGAAGCTATGAGAAAAGCAGAATCTCTGGCCCTACCCCAGATCAGAATATGTATTTTATAAGATTTCCCAGTGATTCATATGCATATTAAATTTTTAAACAGCTTTAATGAAGTATACTTGAGATACAATAAACTGCACAGAAATTGTCCGATTTGATAGGTTTTGATATATATGTATTTATACTCATGAAACTATCGCCAGTTTGACAGTGTTGATATGATAATGAACATGTACATCATCTCCCAAAGTTTCCTCATATCCCTTTTTAATCCTACTCCTCCCCTGCTGTCCACCTCATGCCCAGGCAACCACTGTCACTAGAGAGTAGTTCGAATTTCCTAAACTTTTACATAAACGGAATCATAAATAGTTTTTGTGCCTGTCCTCTTTCACTCAACATAATTACGTTGAGACTCATGCATGTTGCTGCATATATCCATGTCTCATTCCCTTTTATCACTGAGCAGTGTTCCATTATATGGATGTATTATACTTGGTCTAGTCACCTTTTGATGGATGTTTGGGTGGTTTCCTAAATTTTGAGAGGCAGTAATCTCGAGTGTTTCAAATTAGGAGAGAAATTATTAATAGAATCCTAGCGATAATTGCTAATTCTTATAAGGTGATTCATTTCTGCATTGATTATGTTTTTCCAAGATTCTCAAAATATAAACATCTTCTCATTTTATTTATTTATTTTTAGCTGAGCCATCCTGCCACCTGTTGGCAGCTCAGCGGCAGCTTAGCTCGGGCTGGACTCGAACTGCTGTTGCTCAGAGCTCAAACCTTTGAGCGAGCTCTTAACCAACTGAACCACTCAGCCGGCCCCTAAACATTTTCTTAAAGTAACAAAAGCTTGTCTTCATTTCTGTTAGTAACACAGACCGAACAATTCTAAAAAGAATCACATGTTGAACTTCAATTTATTGATCCCCTTTCCAATAAATTTCCAAAATGTTCCTTCCAATGACCCAGTAGAAGTTTAGAATCCAGAGGACAGGGAAGAGGAGACAAGATGAATGGGTATGAAAAAGTACTGAAAAGCGTTTTGTATCTCTTTGAGAAAGAATGAACCTCTAAAGGACAGGAATGGCCAAGGTGTACCAGCGGTAGGATTTTTATCAGTCAGTCAACAATCATTTATTGACTGTTTCTTGAGGTTCCAACATTGTAGTAAATATTGTGGGAGATTCAAATTAGTATACGGCACTTTCCTCTTGAAACTTTTTGCATATGTAGCTGGAGCAATAAGACTAAAACACCAGGAGCTTTAACAATTGTTTCTAAATTACGGATTGCTGACTTTATATGTAATATTGTTGAGCCCAATAGGGTATGGAAGGAATCACTGATGTAGAATTAGAAGCCCAGAGTTGTAGTGTAGAGTGACGGTGGGTGTGTCATTTAGCTTCTCTGAGCTTTCAGTTTCCTTACCTATAAAATGGCTTGTCATAATTTCTGCTCTGCCTGCTTTACAGGACTGTTGTGAGAATAAAACACAATAAGATATATACCCAAGTAAGAAAGCAGCATGAAAACTTTAGGGCACTATCCAAATTTAAGGGATTCTTTATTGGGGCAGAAAGAAATCAAGGGGGACTAAAGTCATTGGAGAAAGTGTCATGGAAAAGTGGACACTTCAGTTGATGTTGAAGGATAGAGACAAAATAGAAAGAGATACAAGTAGGGAATAGAGAGGAGAAAAGCAACCTTACATCAATCCTGTGAGATAAGTGGTTTGTCCCCATTTTACAGATAAATAAATCTGAGGTTCAGAGAGATTAAATGAACTAAGAACATTCAACTAGCAAGTGACCGAGCTAGGATATGAATTCAGGACTGTCCAACCCCAAAGTCCTTACTCTTAAGCATTGTGCTATACTGCTGGATAGAAAACAGAGACAAAAGTTTGATTTGTGTATGACTCAGTGAAGAGAAAATCAACTAGAACCAGGGTACAAATTACAAATACAGGAAATAAGACTGAATAGGTTAGAGGAGTCCACCTATGGAGAGTACTTGTATTGTAGTTTTTTTCTTTCTTTCTTCCTTTTTTAGCAAAATCTGCATGGCCATCAGCATCAAATTTTTTTTTTTTTAGCTGAGCCATCCTGCCACCTGTTGGCAGCTGTTGGCAGCTCTTCTTGAGCTGGGAATCGAACCAGCAACCCTATTGCTCAGAGCTCACACTCTTGAGTGAGCTCTTAACCAACTGAGCCACTCGGCTGGCCCCTCATCTGCATCATTTTTATTGCAAATAAATTAACAACAACAAAAAAAGATGAAAAAAACCCTGTCATTTTTATCACCTACAGTTTGCATGTAGTTAACTTTTAAAAAAGGTTCCTTTTTCTGTAAACTACATTCTATTTTATAAAACACAGTAAGAATCAGCATCTTAGGATGTGCCAGTCATACCCATATGTGATGGCACAACGTCAGCCTTGGTGAGGCCAGAGAAACGGCCCTGAGGAGATATCCACGTGCCTGAGCACGCAGGCAGAGCCTCCCCTGAGCTCGCTCTTAGGAGCTGTGGTGTCAGCAGCTGCAGGTCACGAGGTCTTGGTTGTGAGCGGAGCCCCGTTCTGACACCCCTCATCAACATGACCCCTGACAGACTTGTTCATTCAGATTTTTAAAACAAAATCCACTTTTAAAAATGTATTTACACACATTTATTTTGCCACAGGCTTATACTTGATATTGCAAGAATCTGCTCCTCCCCCAGGCTCAGCACCCCTAATCCAGGAAGGGTGGCCCTTAAGCAGGCTCCTGTGGCGCCTCTGAGCCCACCACCTCAGCTGCATGCCCCACTGAGCCCCGCCAGGTGCTGGGACTAGTGGCCCCTGCACACCAAGCGCAGCCACTGCCATGTTTTTCCAAAACCTCTAAGTAGGTTGCTCTGGCAAGTCTCCTATAAAAATGGGGCTCATTTTCAAAATTCAAAGGCATTTTTAATATGTATCTGCACAATTACTCTAAGAAGAAAATAGGGCCAGTAGATTGAGGCACAGACTGTCGTGTGAGGGGTCCAGAGCCATGCACCTGCTAACAGCAAGGCTGACAATGGGCAGGTTAGTGATCTTTCAGCTGGGTGGTAGTGATGGCCTGGCCAGATGTGGCCAGTGTTTTCCCTCTTCTGGGACTACAAAGTGCGGAGAGGAGAGTGAAGCCAATTTCATCAGGACTCTTTCCTTCTTCCTTCCACCCAGCTTCACAGCCAACAGCATCAGTCATGTTCCCTGACTTCTATGCTTGTTCCCATAAGCACACTGAGGTTCAGGGCTATTATTGCTGAAGGGGACACCACTCATCTGACACCATCTTACATGCCTGATGCCTACTGAGAGGGTAGATAAAGTGCATCGTTTCTTCCACGGTGTCATTTTTCTACATGAATTTGAAGGCAAAGACTGTCATATTAAATATTGGAAACCTTAGTCTATAAGGCATCTGAGCATGTTTTTTTTAAATTTCAGATATACTGTTAGTAACAAAAAGGAAATTCATTTATTTTATATTTTGAACCTTAATTTGCATTTTAATTTATGGAACAATCCTTAATTGTATTGTAGTAGATGTATGTGTAAGAAAATTTTTATTTTCATGAAGCCAGTTTGTTTTTAATTTGTGACTTTTAGAAAAGGGAACCCAAAACAATTTTTACTAATCTCATTATCCCTTTGGATTACTGATTATTTATAATGCATTAGGGATTTTTTTTTCTTCTCCTTTTCTAGCCTAAAGTTGAGAAGAAGAGGTATTTTCTTTTTGGGCTGTTGTGTGGACTCTCCCTTTACAATTTAAATGTTGCCGACCTTCCTTTCCCACTGGCTCTGTTTAAGAAACTTCTGGACCAAAAGCCATCATTGGAAGATTTAAAAGAACTCAGTCCTCTTTTGGGGAAGTAAGTAAATGGTTTTCCAGGACTTGACCTAGTCAGTCTCAGTTGTCTAGGCATAAATGGCATTCACACAAACAAGGTCTTCAGTTTCAATAAAGTAGGTTCTTTCGGTGAATTTGAATTTTTAGCATGACTTATAATCAAGTAAACCTTTAAAAAAGTCAAATATTACTCTAATTATCAACCAATAAAATAAACAGAGCCTGGTCTCTTGAATTTATACAGATGGAAATAGTTGCCTTGGACAGTTCATGATAGTCTTAATGAGAATCATGCATGCTATATTTATTTTATATAAATTGTATTTCATCATATTTAATTTATTTAAATAAATCAGCATGTCATCAACTTTTTTTTTTAAGGATTGAAAAATGCTTGTTCTAAGTTAAAAGGTAGGCTATATCCTGTGAGAAAAATATTGGCAACACATATGAGAGAACAGAATTATCTCTGATGTAGAAATATACTATATATTTCTATATATACTATATATTTTGCTGTATAATATGTGAGTCATCACACATATGGGTAATTAAAACATGAAAATATGCCCAACCTTACTAGTAATCAAGGAAATTTGGACAAATGAAAATAAGATATCATTTTTCTGTTTACAGGTTGACAACTATTGAAAATTTGTTCATAAGATATAGAGTTGACAACAGATTGGGGAAAAGGATTCTCCTCTCGTGAATTGTTAGTGGAAGAATAAACTGACTAGATTTACACTGTATGCCCTGACAGTCTAGAGCAGCTGTTCTCAACCTTCCTAATGCCACGACCCCTTAATACAGTTCCTCATGTTGTGGTGACCCCCAATCATAAAATTATTTTCGTTGCTACTCTATAACTGTAATTTTGCTACTGTTATGAATCATAATGTAAATATCTTTTTGTTTTCCGATGGTCTTAGGCGACCCCTATGAAAGGGTCGTTTGACCCCCAAAGGGGTCGCGACCCACAGGTTGAGAACCGCTGCTCTAGAGCAACGGTTGAGAAACCCCTGGCAATATTGACATTTTGGGCTGGATAATCCTTTATTGTAGAAGGCTGTCCTGGGCACTGAGGAGATGTTAACCTGCATATCAGGTTGCTACACACTAGATGCCAATAGCAACTCTCCTCTAATCGTGACAACCAAAGATATCTCCAGATTTTGCCAAATGTCCCCTGGGGGGCAAAATCACCCCTGGTTGAGAATCACTGCTTTAGAGGAAGGGGCTCCTTTTTGTAATTTCCACCGAGACATAGCCGTGTCTATTAGTGAGTGGTTTAGCCAAACAAAAGTATGAATAGAGGTTAACTCTAGGAAGAGGGAGTGGGAAGGTAGAGGAGAGGAGATTTCCGTGGCATTTTATACATTTCTGTCGTGTCCAAAATGTTTCCATTGAACATTTATTACTGTTGAAATTTTATAAGGTCAATAAATATAATTTTTTTCCTCCAAAATTTTCATTAGGAGTTTGCAAGAAGTTCTAAATTATGAAGCTGATGACATTGGAGAATGTTTTGACATGTATTTTTCAGTGAGTACTAGTGAATGTCATATTTATAGTTTAGCTTGAATCTTTTTTTTACAATAATTTTTATTATAGTGTCTCAAATATGGGATTCCTTTTTTGAAGGGCATTTACTTCTGTACTGTAAGTCCTTCTCCCCACCTGCTCCTCATTTGTTACCTTCTGTCTGTATACTCTCAAATAAGGTGAAATTATAAGCAATCATTCAATGGATGTAAACAGCTAAATGGATCAATGTATGCTTAAAAGCAATGTACAACTTACACTAGGGTAGGTTTTTAAGTTTTATATGTATTTAAAAGGCTGATCTACATAAATAATTATTTAGCTCCCAGTTATTTAAAATTTTATAGGGAAGAATATACTGGCAACAATGGTATCATGCTTGATTATTCAGACTTTTCTTTCTTGTTTGCTACCTGAATATATTTTGGTTATAGCAACACTGGGACCAAAAGGATGTTGATTTAATTCCAAATGGGATCTCTGTACTTGTGGACCAAACCAACAAGTAAGTTTTGAGACCTAGAATATCTGCTTTAAATACACATAAAATGTTTGTATCACTATGTTTTATACATGTATTTTAGTTTCTCAGATGATCATTTCAGCTTCTCATGTTTTAGAAAGATAGAAAGATTACAGGGTAAGCGAAGGGAGAAGGAAGTCAGAATTAAATATTTCCTTTGCAGCACTTTTCACTAGTTATTCATTTAACAATTATTTTTGAGCCCCTACCCTGTACCAGACCCTACTCGTATTCTAGGTGCCGTAGATACAGCAGTGAAAAGGACAGGTAAAATCAGGAGCTTAAATTCCAGTAAGACAGAAAGAGAATATGCAAATAAATTACCATATTTTGCTGTATATAATGTGCTCCTGTATATAATGCATACCCACATTTTTTTTGCTCAAACTTTCAGGGAAAAAATTTTTTAATTTTTTAATTCAAATGTTTATTTGTTTACATTTAGGTATTTGTTTTTTGTATTATAAAGGAATTTTAGCATTTATTTTTTTAACATATTATGGTACAAGAAATTTTATTTAACAAATATTTACAAAACACAAGAGCAGATACAAGATTCAAAAAATTCTATGTACCTGCAACAAATTTAGGATATTTATGCATCATAGAAGGCCAAGATCTCTTCCTCATTGCAGTTCATCTTAAGTTCAACAAAACCAATTATTGTATTCCAGGGTATTATTTTGCATATGTATATCATTATTGATTTCTAGAGTTACACTTTTAATTCATAAGCATAAATAAAAGAATTAAAAATATTTATATAGATATGGAATTAGTACTACCCATGTATAATGCGCATCCTTATTTTTTCCTCAAAAATTTGGGCCAAGACAAGTGCGCATTATACACGGAAAAATACGGTATTATGTAATAAAATGTCAGATAAGGATGAGAGCCCTGAAGAAAATTAAGAGACTACAGGGTAACAGGTAGATGTATGTTGGAGTCAGCTGGTGAGAGCTAATAGTTAAATTTTCAAAAATGTTGAGTTTATTATTAAAATGTTAGTAGCTTGAAATCAGCCATGGCGGGCATATTTACACCACAAAAATTGGCAGATGCTCCAAATGAGAGTCCCCTTTTTCTCTCTCCTCTTGGGAGAACTGCTAAACATTTACCAGCACATCACTGGTTATAGGAGAAGGCAGAGAGGGATTGATTTAGATAGGGTATTCCAGGTAGGATGCTCAAAGGGTGGGAGACTATCATGTTTCTGGTGGATATCTGGTGGAAATACTTCTAACAACACTGCCGTCAGGAAATTCATCATGTAGTGAAGACAGACTTTGCATACATAGTTTTCACACAGTGACATGTGTTGTAAGCAGGGGAAGGAAAGAGGAACACCGACCAAACTTGAGAAAGTCACACTGATGAATGATGGAAGTTGCCAGGTAAAGAGGAAGCACTGAATGCTGTGGCCTAACTACAAGAAAGACAGTGAGACCAGAGATTCCAAAGGAAGTGGCAAGAGGTTGCATAGTAGGGCAAGGGTCAGGTCGTGGAGGGCTTTTTGATCCTGTTAAGGTGGTTTGGAATTCACCATAAGGGCAATTGAAGCCTTAGAAAGATTTTAAGCAGGAGAATGACATATTCACATTAGCGTTTTTAAAAGACCCGGATTGCAGCTAGGAAAGTGGAAGCAAAACAAAGTCTTTATCCTTCTGCTATATTCTCCAAGTTTTCTTTTTCTAGCTGATTGGATGTTTTTATATTCCGGGGTAGTACTGGGCTGTGTGCTATGCAAAAGTAATTTTCTTTCTCATTAGAAATGATAAAAAGAGCAAAGTAGAGCATGTTTTTAGTCACTGGTAAAGTATGTTATTGGCCTTTTTCTGTTATGTTTCCCTCAAGGAAAGACTTTGTTTCTAAGTATGTTGATTACATTTTCAACACTTCCGCAAAGGCAATTTACAAGGAATTTCAGAAAGGATTTTATAAGGTTTGTGACAAGGAGCTACTTAGAGTTTTCCAGCCTGAAGAACTAATGACAGCAATAGTTGGAAATACTGATTATGACTGGAAACAATTTGAAAAGGTAGGTGATAACTAAACGGCCCCCAATTCATCCGAACAACTTCTATATACTCCCCCTAAACATTTTTTCCTTTTCTTTTTCTCAAGAATTCAACATATTGTGAAGGATACCATAAATCACATCCTACTATACTGATGTTTTGGAAAGCTTTCCACAAATTAACTTTGGATGAAAAGAGAAAATTCCTCTGTAAGTATTACAGTAATAGATGGGCCTATAAATATATATCTTTTAAAAAGATAAATATCTTATTTGTGATGAAATCATTATTAATGGTGGGTCACACATATTAATGGCAAAGCAAGGTTAGAATCCAGGTTCCCTACCTTCTAGATCAGGGGTTGGCAAATTTTTGAGACAGAACCTACCCAAAGAGCCACATGTGGCTCGTGAGACGCAGTTTGCCAACCCCTGTTCTAGACCAATGTTCTTGCTCTTAATAAGCCTGTTCCCCATTAAAAACAAATGATAATAAGATATCGCTATTTTATTACCTTCTCTATACTGACTCTAACCCCACCTTTAATTTTAGTTTACATCCTCTTTCCTCACTCTAGTTGGCTCCTAATCAAGCCAAATGGCTTACATTCCTATCTTCATTTAATTATCTAAGTCCTATGGGATTAGGACAATGTAAGCTGTCTCTAATGCTATTTTAGAAATAATAATAATAGCAATGACCACTGATGATACTAACAGCATTTATTGTGTGCTTACTCTATGCTAGGCATTGTACTGATCACTTTGCATCTATTACCTCCCTTTATCCTAATAGCAGCCATATGAGGTAGGCACTTATTTTTCCCCATTTCAGATCTGAGGAAAAAGAGTCTTGGAACATTTAGTAGCTTGTCTATGTTCAGATAGCTAGGGAGTGTCAGAACCAGAATATGAACTCAACAGGCTGATCCAAAGCACAGGCTCTTGACCACTCAGCTCTGTGGCCTTCGGGTATAAGAACTTCTCTTGGTGGGAACCCTAAGTTTTCCCTAGGACAGACAATGTCTTATTTTCTCACCACCTCACCCCATTTTTCAGCTCCTCCTGTGATCACATTTTTCTTCTTGCTATTTTTGTTGCTCCTGAGGATGTTGGAGAAAAATTCCAACTTCTCTGCAAACCCAACCTACTTCTTCACAAAACTTGACTACCTTTCCAATCTTCTCTCTTGATGAGAAATGTCTGCCTCAGTCCCATGGTTCCATTGTCTGTTCATTGAGTGAGTTCACTTACATCTTCCTACCTCAGGCTTTCCTTATGATTCCCCCCATCCATGCCCCTCACCCCGCCCCCCCAAAAGCTCATTCAGCTCCTCTACTTGAGAATTAACTAGTTAGATGTGATCTGTGAATCTCCCTAGCTACCCCAGCCTGGTGCCTCTCTCCCTGCCCTGAGTCTTGGGGCCTTCATTAGGTTCTTCACCTCATACTTCTTGGTTGAGCTAAAATAAATTCCTTGTATTTTGCTATTTTCTTTTCATGTACTGTAGACCCTTGAACAATACAGGGGTTAGGGGTACTGATAACCCCCCTCCCCACACAATGGAAAGTCTGTGTATAACTTTTGACTCCCCCCAAGCTTAACTACTAACAGCCTACTGTTGACTGGAAGCCTTAACATAAACAGTCAATCAACGTATATTTTGTATGTTATATGTATTATATACTATATTATTATAATAAAATAGGCTAAGAGAAAAAATGTTATTAAGAAAATCATATGGAAAATAGATTTACAGTATTCATTGAAAAATACCTGTGTATAAGTCGACCTGTATAGTTCAAACCTGAGTTGTATATAACTAGACCATGAACTCACTGAGGACAAAGACCAAATGTCATTTTTCTATGCTCCACATGGTCCTGTGTAGTTTTCTCTACACAAGGATTCTCAATAAATATTTATTGAATGATGTGATTAATTTCTTCATTTTCTTTTTAATTTTGCTCTTTCTATGAAATATCTTAACCAAGATTATTCCTTTCTAGTGTTTCTTACAGGAAATTATAGGCAGCCTGTAAGAGGATTACAAAAAATGGGAATCATATTTCGCTGTCCTGAAACTTTCAGTGAAAAAGACTGCCCAAGATCGCTCGTATGTCATAATATTCTGGACCTCCCTAAATATTCTACAATGGAAAGAGTGGAGGAAGCACTTCAAGTAGCCATCAACAGCAACAGAGGATTTATCTCAGAGACCACATAGTAATAGTGACCTAGAGAGTTGCAGTGAGATCTCAGATTCTCAGGTCCTCTCTCATCCTTCAATTGTGATGTTCATCTTCAGGTCTACTTTGTACAAAGGGTTGCTGGATTTTAATTAGAATTAGTTGATAAATGTTGAGATAAACAATAAAGTGATGAATCAAGGTAATATTTTTAATGAATCACATTTCCCGATCCCTAAACTTGCTATTAGAATGTTTGCTTTTTTATTGAATTACTTCCTGAATAATAATTATCATTTAAAAATAGGCTGAATATTAAAAGCTAATGGATATTTTTAAAAATATTCTTCTTCTAATAAACACTGCCTGCAAATATGAAAGTCTGAAAAAAATAAACAAAAATATAAATTAATTCAACTTGATTTTGAGGCATGTAGATGTGTATTTTATACCGTGGAATGACTCCAGAGTTTTAACTTTAGCCAAATGATGAATAATTTATTTGAAAAATCTAAAAGTCTAAATGTTAAGGGATTCATTAATTCATTCAATAATTACTTATGCTCAATACTGTGTTCTAATAATCAGTCTAAATGCAGACATCATTATTTTGGTTAAAAATGCTGAGTCCAACTAGGAACTCTTGTCTAATTGTAGTTGGGGAAATGTGAAGAACCTGAAATATGTCTCAGTGTCATGATTATAGAGTAAATTAAAGAAGAGATATAAGTATGGTTGGAAATGACCAAAGAATTTTGTGACCAGTTCTAGCTAATATTAAATTTTAAACTGTAAGCTGTTCTATAAATGCCTATTCTCTCAAACTATATACAGAGCCTTGTATGGGTGGTCCTTTAGGAAAGGAAGGCCTATGGGGTGAAGTTCACAATGGGGTGCTAATGTGGAAAGAGAGCAGGATCATCTGAGGATAGACAGAACAGAGATAAAGAATTCACCAAGGACAATAGAATATGAGGTGGTCAATAGAAACATAAGCCCCCAGCGAATCCTCATAGTTATTTTGGACACGTCTGGTTTCTACAACAAATGGAATGAAGACCCAGATGTATTCTTTTTTAATTTTAAGGGAAAAGGTACTCTCTAAATCTTAAGGATCCTCAGGCCTCAGACTTTTGGGTTGTGTTCCTCAGGCCTTTCACATCCAACATGACTTTTTCTATTGCCAATGGGTGAACTGTACTAAATATCTTTACACTCTTTCAGAAAACAGAGAATAAAGGAACACTTCCCAATTAATTCTATGATATCCAGACAAAGACATCACAGGGAAAGAAAACTATAACTATCTCTCATGAACATAGACACAAAGTTTTGTATAATACCGTGTGACTAAGTGGGGTTTAGTCCAGAAATGCATTTGAAAATCCATTATATTTCACCATAATAGACTAGGGGGAAAAAATCATAATTACCTCAATAGAGGTAGAAAAAAAATGGACAAAATTCAGTAGCCATTGATGAATGATAAATACTTGTAAGAAACTAGGACTGAGACGAGAACTTACTCAACCTGTTAGAACCTACACACAGCTAACTTGATACTTACTGGTGAAAGACAATGCTCTCCTACTAAAATTGGGAACAAGGCAAGGATGTCTCTCAAAGTTTCTACTCAACATTGTACTAGATGTAATAGTCCATACAATAGGGCAGAGAAAATAAAAGGCATACTGATTGGAAAATAAGGAATAAAACTACCTTATTTATAGACTACATGGTCATCTATGAGTAAGATTCTAAGGGATTTCCAAAACTACTAGAACTATTAAATAAAAATAAAAAGGTATCAGGATTCAAGGACAATATATAAAAATGAATTTCAGGGCCAGCAAGGTGGCGCAGTTGGTTAGAGTGGGAGCTCTGAGCAACAGGGTCTCTGGTTTGGTTCCCACATGGGCCAGTGAGCTGCACCCGAGCTGAGTGCCGCTGAGCTGCCAAGAGGGGGCCAGATGGTTCAGCTGGTGAGAGCACGTGCTCTTAACAACAAGGTTGCCGGTTCGACTCCTGCACTAGATTGAGAGCGGCAACTGGACTTGGAGCTGAGCTTGCGCCCTCCACAACTAAGATTGAAGGACAACAACTTGACTTGGAGCTGATGGGTCCTGGAAAAACACAATGGTCCCCTTCCCCAATTCCCCAATGAAAAATTTAAAAAAAAATTAATTGCATTTCTATATATACTCCAGCAATCATAAATTGAAACATTTTAAAGTATTTGAAATATCAACAAAAAATAAATACCTAAAGATACATTTTTTTCAGGATAAATTTAACAAAATATGTTCCACTATACTCTGAAAACTAGAAAGTATAGCTGGAAGAGATAAAGAAACTTTTAATTAATAGAGAAAGATATGCTCATGGACAGAAGAATCAATATTATTAACATGTTAATTCTCTCCAAATTGATCTTATTTAGTATAATCTCAAAAATCCCTGCAATCTGTTTTGTAGAAACTGATAAACTGATCATAAAACATATATGAAAATGCAAAGGACTTAGAATAGCCAAAACCACAATGAAGAAGGATAACTGTGGAGCACTTGAATGATTTTAAGACTTGGAATCTACAGTAATCAAGGCAGTGTAATACGGGAGTAAAAATAAAACATGTAGATCAATAGAACACAAGTTCAGAAATCAATCATATATGGATCGACAGTTTTGACAAAGATGTCAAGGCAATTCAGTGGGGAAAGGCAATCTTGAACACCTCGAAATCCATAAGGAAAAAAAAAAACATCTACCCATACCTCACACCATAAAGAAGAATTCATTTGAAATGTAACAGACCTACAACTATAAAACTTCTAGAAGATAGTATTTAAGAAACCCCTTGTAATCTTGGGTTAAGCAAAGATTTCTTAAGTAGGACAAAAAAGGCATGAACTATGTAAAATAAAAAAAATGTATCAAAATAAAAAACTTTAGTTCTTCAAAAGATACTTAAAAAAAAAAGATTTCATTGGGGAATTGGGGGAGGGGAACAGCATTGGGGAATCGGAGAACAGACAAGTTGCTATCCTTTTCTTCATTCTAGTTGTGGAGGACATCGCTTCACTGGCCTATGTTGGTATTATCATTGCGCTCTTTCCAGGTGAGGCAGTTTCTTGCTGGCCATTGGACAGCTGCTCACAGCGCTCATGGCAGCTGTCGCCTGCTGCTGGCCACTCACGCTGGCTGCCGGACATGCATGGTAGCTCAAGGCAGCCCACTACAGCCCCGCTGCAGCCTACACCATTGCCCGCCACTTGGCAGCCCAGCTCCAGGTCGAGCTGTTGTTCACCATCGTTCACCATCTTAGCTGTAGAGGGAGCAGTGTCACTGGCCTTCATGTGGGATCTGAACCAGGGCCCTGCTGCTCAGAGCTGCCACTCCCAAGCCAACTCAACCAATGCACCACTCGGCCAGCCCTCAAAAGCTACGTTTAATAAAGTTAAAAGACAAGCCACAAATTGGTAGAACACATTTCAAAACATTAATAAAAGATTTGATATATAACAAAGAACTCTAATGTATATAGAGCTTTTAGATAATAATCAATTGAATAAATGGGCAAAGGATATGAATAGACACTTCACCAAAGAAGAGAGATTAGCACTAAGAAGTACATGAAAAGAAACAACATTATTAATTATAGGAAAGTGGAAGTTTAAACTACAATAAAATGCCGCTATAGACAATTGTTAAAATTAAAAAAGACTGACAAAATGAAATGTTGGCAAGGATAGAGAGCAACTAGAACTTCCATAAACTGCTGGAGGTAATGCAAAATAGTACAGCTCTTTGGAATTCCAAAGTTTGGCAGTTTCTTACAATATTCATGTACTTACATCTGACAGAGCAATTCCATTTTTTAGGTATTTATTTCTGCCCCCAAATTAAAACATTTATCCACTAAAAGACTTGTTTACAAATATCCATGGCAACTTTATTCATTGTAGTAAAAAAATGTATAGGACTGAAATGCCCTTCAATTGGTGAAGAGATCAACAAATTGTGGTATATCCACTGAACGGAATACCACTCAACAATAACAAAGGGAACTTCTTACAAAAAACAACAGGATGAATCTCAAAAGCATTATGATAAAACAGGCAGACACAGGGCCAGCCGGATGGCTCAGTAACAAGGTTGCCTATTCTACTCCCACATGGGATGGTGGGCTGCATGCCATCCCCCAGGCCACCCCCCCCCAAAAAAAATGACTAGATTGAAAGCTGGACAGGACTTGGAGCTGATCTGTGCCCTCCACAACTAAGATTGAAGGACAACTTGAGTTGGAGCTGATGGGTCCTGGAAAAACACAATGTTCCCCTTCCCCAATTCAGCAATAAGATCTAAAAAGAAAAGGCAGGCACAAAAGCCTGCATAAGTTTTATTCCATTTGTAAGAAATTCTAGAAAAGGCAACAACTATATTGGCAGAAAGCAGATCACTGGTTGCCAGGCATGAGTGGAGGGACTGAGTACATAGTTCTTTTCACTTCCATCGCAAACTTGAGCTTTCCGTATAGCCTTGGTTTTTGGAAATTGCAATGCAAGTCCAACTGTGTTAGGGCTCCACCTAGCGGAACTGCAGTGTTTCTTCGAAGGCCATTTGGTCCTGGAGTTCAGATGGCTACTGCCAGCCCGGGCACACCTTCTCAGCCCTGCCCGTCATCTCATCACCTTCCACCGCCCTGTGCTCTTTGGCCATGTTGCAAACCCTTCTGGAAGGGTCGAGTTTCTCTTACCGTTTCCGTTTCGGTACCGCCCCCTTAAAAGAAAATCGGTTTCGTTTCCACCTCGACCGGCCGGCCCTGCCCCGCCCCTAAACCGCACGTTGGGAGGCTGGCGTCCGAGCAGGGGCGGGGTGCCGGCGGCCGCGGTGGCTCGACGCCGCAGAGCAGTCCGCTGGGTGGCTCCGCACCGCGACGTCCGTGGGCAGTGGGACCTCTTAGACCTTGGCCCTTTGCCTCTCTTCTCTTGCCTCTCGGCCGGCCGAAGCTCCGTCTCCGGAGAGCGGAGGTGCGGCCGTGGAACCCGGGGAAGCGGCGATGGAGCAGAGGCCACGGAGGAGTTCGCGGGGCGGCGCGCGCTCGGCGTTGCAGCCGGCCCCCCGGCGCTCCGCCGCGTCTCCTCGGGGCACGCAGCTCTGGCTCTTCCCCAGCGCCCCGGGCCTCCGCAGCGCGCTGCTCGGGAGAACCGAGGCGATGCGCCAGATGTGCTGCACGCGCGAGCGCCTGGCGGTGCTGGAGCGCGGCGGGGTCGGCGTCGAGGTGCACCAGCTGCCGGCGGGGAGCGACGGCGCCAGGAAGCCAAGTGAGTGGGGCCCGGCCACGCCAGCTCGGCCCTCCCGCCTCGGGCTCGGGGTGTGAGGGTGGGCGGCCGGGGCCCGCGCGGGCACTGACCCT